TGTTGTGTTGCTCTGTAAACTGGAAATTTAAGCTCAAGGTGAGGTTGATTTTCTCTAAGACCTCTCTCTCTGGTCTGCAGATGGCTACCCTCTCCCTGCATCTCTTGATCATCATCCCTCTGTGCTGTGCAGACCTGGTGTTTCTTTGTGTGTGAAAATTTTTCTCTCTCTCTTTTTTAAAGATACTAACCAAATTATATTAGGATCCATCCACATGACCTCATTTAAGCTTAATGACTTATTAGAAGATCCTATTTCCAAATACAGTTGCATTCTGGCATATTAGGGGTTAGGTCTTCAAAATATGAGTTTTGGGGGAATTAATTTAGGCAATTAATATCTAAAATAATTGCTTTTTCTTTCTTTTTTCTTTTTTGAGACAGGGTCTCACTATGTAGTTCAGGCTGCCCCTGAAATCACTAAAAAGCCCAGGCTGGCCTCAGACTCATGGCAATCCTCCTGCCTCAACCTTCCAAGTTCTAGGATTATAGGCACATGCCATTATGTCCAGCTGGAATTATTGCTTTTTTTTATACTCTAAAAGCATATCTCATGTCCAAATTTGTACAATGGAGTTATCCCATAGGTTCATTACTCAATATAGGAATTGTACCTCATTTTCATAAGTTAAACTGATATCCATAAAATTGACAATGGTTAACTTGTGTCTCAAGCAAACAATTATACACAAAGGCTTTGTAAACTAAAAAGTCAGTAACTGGAGTTCAAGGAGGTTTCCCTAATTTTTTTCGTTTTTGGCTACTGGGGATTGAACTCAGGTCCTTGTGCTTGCACAGCAGGTGGCCAAACCACTGAGCTAAATCCCTAGCCCCCTTCCTAATTTAAAAAGTCATCATGAAACAAGTAATACATTTAATATCTAATTTTGTAAATATTAATAATATTTAATAAATTATATTTGCTTTTTAATCAGAAGAGCTGGTGTACAGATTAAGGAAGGTTTGGACTATACAAATGATACTTTAATCCTTACCACAGCTAATTATTTTGCTATATTACATGTGTATCAATAATATATTTTCACACCTGCCAGCTGAGCATAGAAATTGTGAGGGAAAAAAATTTGTGGGTTTATATAACAGTAGACTAAAAGATCAAACATTAGACATTTATTTAGAAATAGCACATTTATTAACTTTCACTCTTAGACTAACCTCAAATAAAACATATTGGTATACATGCAAAAATGACAAAAAGTGAATACAAAGAGGGGAAAAATTACATAGCTGAAGCATGGACACAAATCCACAGCAAATAAAATTAATATTGGATATTAAGATGGTTAATATTTAGGTAATAAATCTTGGAATATCAAGGTTACCAGAAGGTCAACTTACATATTTGTGAAAAAGGTACCAAAAAAGAGATCACTTTGATTTGTTTTCTTTCCTTACCAAAAATCTTTTTACAAAAAAGAAATCAGTATTTTATAAGAATTGGACTTTTTTTCAATTTCCAGTTTGGAACCAGTTTTGAGCAATATTAAAGGCATTTAAATCCAGGAAATATGCAAAATATTAACAAAATTTTAACCCTATTGCACAGTGTATCACATGAACAACAGAAGTAATTGCTGTCAGTTTGTGCTTTTTTGACCAATAATTCTCTGTATTTTCTGCAAGTAACTTGAGTGATGCAAATGACCTTATTTTTACAGCATGCTTTTATTAAATAGTTTATTATTTTGGCAGACTAATAAAGATTTTGGTATTTGCTTTTATTTGCAATAATATTACCATCACATAAAAAAGGATTTTATGTTCTTTTTGAGGAACAAGGAGGATAAAAGTGGTGATGGATAGCGCAACTGAGGCATCAGCAATGAGCTGGAAATGAGACACATAAATATGAAAGCAGAGCTAAGAAAATAGAACTGCACCCTTGGCCTTTCTTAAAAGAACATGCGCACTTCATGGTTCATTCACACTGTTCGAGAAACTCCTTTTGTTTCCAATGAATCAGAAAATGCACGTAAAGTCTGAAGTACTATTTTTACTTATAGCTGCCTAACTTCTATTTAATTAGATTCATTTCAGGAAAATATTTCCAAGCTTTCTGAAGATGTTTGGATTTGAGGAAAAAAATAATTCACTGAAAAGTTGGTGGACATAGGAGCTGAAGGGATCAGACCAGATATACTATTCTCACAATTATTTAGCACAAAGCACAGAAATGAAAACATTCCTTATAATAGCATCTTCAGAGTGAGCTAAGGAATTGTGGAGTATTTAAGGATATTCCAGGTAGGTGGCTAGGCAACTGTATCTTTAACACAAATAATATTATACTATTAGATTGATAATGCAACATTAGATAGAGACTAGGTGATTAAAGTAATCTTATATCTTGCCATAATGTTATGTGTTTATTTAAAAATTATGATTGTTTGCACGTAGCATGTTTTCTGATCTAATGTGAGTATATAAATTGTAAATGTCAAATATGTTTGTCAGCATAATATATTTAGCATTAATTTTATCATATATCATTAATAACTTGTTTCCTTATTACAGTATTTAATTGTTATCATAACTGAAGGCACATTGTGCTGGAGAAACCAAAGGGAAGGTAAATCTCCTATTTAGGGCCAGAACCTGAATTGGCACATGGTAACTCATAGCTCAGTAATATTCAGACGTGGAACTATTTTTCTTTTCACACCAAAGTGTAGCCAATAAATGGAAAGTAGGAAGAAGTAATATACAGTATTGTGAGCCGAGAAATCTACTTCTTCATTATCAACATGACTTGAATCTTAGAGAGGGAGAGAGCTCTACCATTTGGAATCTTATCGCAAAGGCTTACAATAGACATGATTCTGACAAGAGGTTGGTGGTAGCAGAACAGACTTAACAATTAATGGTATGCCAAGGCTGAGTTCAGAGAATTGCTTTACCCAATGCCAATCATTCATTTCTGGCAGTAGCACTTCACATCTTTTCCTGGGATGCCATCCAACCACAGTGGCATCTAAAATATATCAAGCAGTGTTGTTACAGTTGGAGGTGAAATTGAAATTTGCGCCAAACAGAAGTGACAAATTCACATGGCTGAGTGTTGCCTAGCAATCAGGTCCAAGGGGAGACGTGGCAATTCTGCCTTTACCCATGAGTGTGTGGAAAGGGGAGAGAAACATTTACATTAGAGTTTGGGTGGCCTCACTAGAAGAGCCAGGTATATGAGAAACTTCATCTTACTATCAGGCATGAGGAAGTAAGGTGTTAAGTACAGGGAAAGAAGGGAAGCAGCTGAAGTTGGTAGGATAAGCAGCTTTCAAGGCTGAGGTTCTCAGCAATTAATCTGGGGGAGGGGGAGAACAGCAAGATGCCAAGATGCCAGACTTGCTGTGGAAATTGATGGCAACTGGCCATCCTGCTGCCTTTTGACTGCAGGCCTCTTGATGAACCTCTGTTTAGCTAGCACTTGGCAGCTGGGTGGTCCCAGGGTATAGTGAGCAAATGGTGGCTTTCTCTTCTCAGAAATCCACATGAGAGCAAAGCTCCTGCTGGGAAGCCAGACTCAAGAGATAAGCAGAAGGAGTGGGATGTTCAAGCTGAAATTCTTACCTTGTGCCCTGATTTGTTGTTGCTTTTTCAGGTTCCCCATTTCATGTATTTTATATTAGTCTTTTCTTTGAGGGGAAACCACCCAAACTACCCCTACCCCATCCTCTAAGGTGTGAAGGGACAATAAAAAAATAGTGATTAATGCGTGCATCAGTAGGTGGATATATCAAAATACCAGTCTTAGAGAAGAAGGATACTTTTTGCTCTTTGTTCCAAACTAAAAAGTTTTACATAAATAATTTTGTTTCAGGGCTTTTTTTTCGATCACTCTTTATTTGGAAGAAGCATAATCCTGGAAATAGGTAGAACAGATTTCACTGTTAGTGAAGGAACTTATGGAGATGTTAGTGTTACCATTAGGCCTTTTCCCCCTTGCCCACTTTTAGTGTTTTTCCTCTTGAACAGCTAGGGCCTTATTAACCTCCTGAGTCTAGTCTTCTGAGCCCTAAAAGAGAGAACAACTGACCTAGGATGACGCGGTAGAGCCTATGTCATTTCCTGCTTTGATGTGTCTCTTTCTGAGGGGCCTTTCTTGATAATCAGTCCTGGGTGAGTGCTCTTTCTTCCTCAGTATTGCAAAACTTTAATATCATTTCTGTGGTGTTTAGCTGAATTTATATGTACGCAGTTGTTTCCTCAATGAGACTCACTGTTCTCACAGCAGAAACCATTTCTTCTAACCAGTATCAGATGAGACAAATGTGAAAATGCAAGGTGCTATCAACTATAGTATACTGTTCATTTCTTTAAAAATTATAAATAAGTGCCACCAAATAATCGAAGAGACTGAACACATACATTGATAATATTTGATGAGTATATAAAATCATATGTATTTTAAGATCATAAATTTGGTTATAATTTTGACAACTAAAATTTATTGACTCCTCATTTTGTGTCATCCTAAAGTTTTTAAATTTTATTTACTGTGGTAAAAATATATAGCATGAAATCTATTCTCTAAATTTTTTAAGTGTACAGTAGAATATTATTAACTATAAGCATAATGTCATACAGCCGCATTCTAGAACGTTTTCATCTTGCATGACTGAAAAGTTACAGTCACTGAGTAGCAACTCCATCATTTCTCCTTCCTCCCAGCCCCTCACAATTACCATTTTACTTTCTCTTATGATTTTTACTACTGTAGCTACCTTAATGTAAGTGCAGTCATACTGTGTTTGCCCTTCTGTGGCTGATTTATGTCACTTAGTATAACGTCCTCCAGGTATAAACAGGATTGTGGTACATGGCAGGAATTTCTTCTTTTTGTGGCTGAATAATATTCTATGATATGTACATATCACATTTTCTTTGTCCATTCATCATTTTATGTACATTCAGCTTGTTTCTATATTGTGGCTATTGCAAATGATGTTGTAATGAACATAAGAATGTGAATATCTCTTCTAGATTCTGATTTCACTACTCTTGGATACATACCTAGAAGTGGGATTGCTGGATCATATGGTAATTCTATTCTTATTTATTCATATTTTTGAGAAAAATCTCTACTGTTTTTAATAACTGTTACACTGTTTTACAATCTCATAAATAATGCACATGGGTTCCAACTGTATGCCCTTGCCAACACTTGTTTTTTTTTTTCTTTTTGATAATGGCTATCCCAACAGGTGTGAGGTGATACTTCATTGATTTTTTTTTTCTGAATAGTTTTTTTTTCTTTAAATTCTTTTATTGGTACATTTTTCATTGTGATTTTGATTTTAATTTCCTTAATGATGAGTGAGGTTGAGAATCTTTCCCTATATGATTGGGAATTTATATGCCTCTTTGGAGTACTGTTGAAGGAATTAACCTCTTATTATATATGTGGTTTGCAAATACTGTCTCTCATTCTGTAGATTGTATTTTTACTCTGTTGCTTATTTCCTTTGCTGTACAAACATATTTAGCTTGATGCAGCCTCATCCTGTTTTTGTTTTTCCTGTGTTTTTAGTATTATATCCACAAAATCATTGTAAAGATCAATAATATGAAGCAGTCTCCCTATAATTTCTTTTAAGAATTTTAGAGTTTAAAGTCTTAGATTTATATCTTTAATTCATTATGAGTTAATTTTTGTGCATGGTGTAGGGTAAAGGTCCAGTTTCAATTTTTGCATGTGATTTTCTAGCTTTCTCAGCACAATTTTTTTTCTTTCTTTTTTTTTTTTTTTTTTGATACTGGAGATCAAACTCGGGACCTTGCACTTGCACAGCAGGCACTGGAACCACTGAGCTAAATCCCTGGCCCTCAGCACAGTTTTTTGAAAGATATACTTTCCCTATTATGTAGCCTTGGCACTGTTGTTAAAAATCATTTGACTGAATTTATCTGGGTTTATTTCTGGATTTTCCTCTGTTCCATTTATTTGTATGTCTGTCTTTATGCCAATATCATAGCGTTTTGATTACTGTAGGTTTGTAAATTGTCTTAAAAACATATTTGCTTTTCTTTCTTGGGACTCTGTTTGTTATTCAGGGTCCTTTGTGTTGCTATATGAATTTGGGATTGTTTTTTCTATTCCTATAAAAATGCCACTGATACAGTATTTTTATATGAATTGCATTGAGAATATAAATGCTTTGGATCTTATGGACATGTTAATAATAGTAAGCCTTTTAATCCATGAACATATACTAGCTGTCTTTCTCTTTGAGTTTTTAAAAAATTTCATTCATTCATGGTTTGTATTTGTATGTGTACAAAGTGTTCATGTTTCTTCATTAAATTCATTTCTAAGTATTTTATTCTTTTTTTTTTTTTTTGGTACTGGGGATTGAACTCCAGTCCTTGAGCTTGTGAGACAGGCGGTGGAACCACTGAGCTGAATCCCCAGCCCTAAGTATTTTATTCTTAATGCTATTGTTTATGGAATTGTTTTCTTCATTTACTTTTCAGATTGTTTGTTGTTAGTGGATAGAAATGCAACTGATTTTTGCATCTTGATTTTGTATCTTCCCTTACTGAATTTATTAGATTTTACTTTTTTGTGGAACTTTTAGAGTTCTTCACATATAAGATCATGTCATCTATGAACAGAAGTCATTTTACCTCTTTTGTTCTGATTTAAATGACTTCCTAAATTATTTACATTAATTTATTTAATTTTCACAATAACGCAGTGAGGTAGGTATAATTCTCATTTAAATGATGAAATTGTTGTATAAAAATGTTTGATTGATTTATCTAAATTGGTAGTAAGCAGGAAGAACTGCTTTCTAACTAGACTTCATAAATAATCTGCACTCATGTTAATAATTACTCACATATATGGCAGTGAGAAATTTGGATCTATTCAATTTGAGCTCTGTTAAAGAGTTAGAATAGAATGCCATCAGTGTGCTGTTGTAGGCAGAATAATGATCATCCCAAACTGACCACATCTTAGTCCTGGAATCCCAGGGTATGTGAGGTTACATGGTATTAGGTTAAAAATTCATTAAAGTTTTAGATGGAATTAAGGTAGCTAATAAGATGATCTTGAGTTTGGAAGATATTGTCTTGGATTATTTTAGTGGATGCAATGTACTCATAAGAATCCTTAAATGTGAAAGAGGGAGTCAAAAAAGTCAGTGTTCAAGAGATACAATGTGAGAAAGACTTGACTGGCCATTGCCATTCATGAAAGAAACAGAACATTGAGACAAGGACGCATGCAGTCTCTTAAAGTTGGAAAAGGCAGAAAAATGAATTGTCTGCTAGCCCCTCTAAAAAGCAGTGAAGTTCTATGAGTATCTTTTAGGTCAGTAAGAATAATTTCAGACTCCTGACCTAAAGGAGAATAAATTCCTGTTGTTCAATGCCATGACATGTGGTTATTATAAGCATTAACTGAAATAACATGTATATGCTCTGATACTGATTAGACAATGAAATGTTGACCCTAAAATTGAAAAGGCTACTTTATGTCTACAGAGAGATGCAAGCTCATACCTGTAGTTGAGGGGAGTTGTGTGGTATTTAGAAATTGGGCTCTCTTTGGCATTGATTTTCTTATATACTATAAGGTTTAGAATGTCTCTCAAAAGTCTTGTGTGTTCAGAGATAGGGCTTTTAAAAGGCTATTGAATCATGAGTGTATACTTATCACTGTATTGTACCATTGATGATTTCATAGTTAAACATATTGTTAATAGGCAAGGCCTGGTTGGAGGAGGGATGTCACAGGGGGCATGCCTTTGGAAGTAAATCTCCCTCCTGGGCTCTTTTCTTCTCTGTGCTTTCTGGCTATCATAAGTGAGCAGTTTTTCTCTGTCATGCCCTTCTTTCATATATTTCTCCCTTAGAAACAACTAGACATAGACCAAATCTTCCTGAAGAGCAAGCCAAATTAAAACTCTTCCATAAGTTGGGTGTTGGGTATTGTGTCCCAGCAAAGGTAAAGCTGAATAATATGTCTACAGAATGAAAGCACTGAATGAGTGAATTTTAAAAGTCACTAAAATTCTTACGGTCTCTGTTTCTAACCAAGAAGCAAAATGTTAGTGAGTGATTGAAATGAAATACTTTCTAGGCCAAAGCATGAATACAATATTGAATAAAAAAAAATTGTGTGTGTGTGTGTGTGTGTGTGTGTGTGTGTAGGGCAGTACTTACCACTAGTTGAAGAAATAGCATCTCTTTGATTATTAGGATATCTTTATACTTTGAATAAATATCAGTTGGTATTAGTGATGTTGATTATACTGGGTTGGCAAAAATGGAAAATAAGAAAAACAAATTAGTGAGCATTTTATTAATCCAAATGTATTCAATTTAATAAGACCCTACATTTTATTCAGTGATTCTTCCTAGTACTTTGGTGTCAAATTGTCTTTTCATGATACAAAGGTAATAATGCATAGTAATTGTTTATGCAAATTACCTTATGTGGGAAAATAAAAAGAAGAATATTAAAAGCTGGCAACTCTATGTCAGTTTCCCAATATTTTATTGTTGATTAATTTTCAGGTTCATAAAATTTGAAAGTCTAAAAATCACTGGTCTATAGCACCCACAATTAAATAGTTTTCATTGTTTTCAGCGTTAGCATTATCACTAACAACATTAAGAGTATACTTTCTGAAGGATATCTGATTGTTGAAAAGTACCAAGTTTTTAAAGTCTAGCTGACCTTCTCAACATCAGACCCATAAAAAAAATCATTTTCTCCACTTTGAGGAGAATAAAAACATGAGAGAAAAGAGGGGGCAAGAATCAGATTTTTTCCTCTGTTCCATGGTAATTCTATGTATTAAATCTTTACAAGTGTGGAAATGGCATAGAGGAAGTTGTTTTTTCTAGAGAAAGAAGGTTGAAATGGGGTTAGGAGCATTGTTAGCGATTCAGCTGAAAGGCTTTCGGGCTTGACTCAGCTCTAGGCAGGAAGCTATCAGGTCTGTTAGGGATAAATAACACAAACAACAACAGTTTTAATTTTAGAACCGCTATTTGAATTCCCAGGCTTCTAGCAGAATAATACAGCCACATAACAAGAAAATTCAAACAGATATATTAGAAAAACTGAGGGAAATAACTCTATAAAAGATTAAGGTGCATACAAAAGGTAGATTTTAATTCCCCAGTAAAAGTTGAGTTTTGACAACTTCTTGAGTAACTTTTGAAGGTATCTGTAATGTCAGTTAACACACAAACCCTTACTTTAATTAATGACATTTTGTGATTTGAGAATTTAAATCATAAATTATAAATGTATAAGTGATCAAATGTGAAAAATTGCTATTATTACCATTGTTCTTATTTATCAGAGATATATATCTTATAATATAATTTTCTCTATGGAATTTGATTTGAGAAATAATGTTTATTTGAATATGTTACCCTTGAGTGTTATGGTAAGTTATCTCAGATTTGTTCTTCAAAGCTGTTAATACCAGGAGTGAAGGGAAACAGGGAACTTAGGAACTGACTGTTAGTGCTCAGCATACATTAGTATAACTGAAGACGTATATTGGGAAGTTTGCACTTGCACAGCTACAGCCTTATTTGGCTGGTGTTTTCACACTGTTTCTCACATTTTACACATATCCCTAATCTCATTTGAAGTGAGGAATTTGTCCACCTTTATCTCCTCCTCCTCTGCAGATGACATCTCCTCCACAACCTCTTGCTGTTGGGAGATGATTACCCACAATCTCATGGGGGGCTAGATGAGGGGGAACCATTGGCTCAGTTACAATCATGTGATGTTCAGCATCATTTACTACTTGTATTGCAAGACACTGGTCATTTATCAAGTTAAAATTTATCAGGAATGTTTGTTTGTCTTGCAGAACACTTGTGAAACAAGTTACTTGCAACCCAAGGTTTTACTGTATTATTATTTTTTAATTAAAATATCAACAAAATTAAAATAATTGTTTGGCTATTTTTAAAAAGAATTTTTCATTGTTATTTTAAAGTTAAGATGTTATGATCTGAATAATATTTATGATCTTGTGCTATCTCAAGAATGTGGGACAGGC